GACACGCTATCGATATCCCGAACTGGTTATTCGTTTATATACATGCATACTTATATACATACATATATACGTATAATACATACATATATATATATATATATAATATATATTATATTATATATATATATATATAGATATATGTGTGTGTGTGTGTGTGTGTGTGTGTGTGTGTGTGTGTGTGTGTGTGTGTGTGTGTGTGTGTGTGTGTGTGTGGTGTGTGTGTGTGTGTGTGTGTGTGTGTTTGTGTGTATTAGCGTCCGTGTATGTGTTTGTTTGCGTGGTTGTGTGTGTATAAGCGTCCGTGTGTGTGTTTGTCCATTTGTTTGCGTGTGTTTTGTATGTGTGTGTGTTTGTGAGAGAGTGAGAGAGAGAGAGAGAGAGAGAGAGAGAGAGAGAGAGAGAGAGAGAGAGAGAGAGGAGAGAGAGAGAAGAGAGAGAGAGAGAGAGAAAGAGAGTGAGAGAGAGAAAAACTCCATACAAAAATACCTCTCACCAAATCTCTTCACGCGTCTCAAACAACAGACCGAGGCGTCGAACATTTTTTTTCCCATCTCTCCCATGACTGACTTTTTCCCTCCAGACCTCAATAATTACGCCATCCATACACGGAAGTCCCCAAGTAATCTTCAACGCAGCTACTGGCAACTTAAACACCTTAAATTGCTACTTTAAGCCTTCTTACATCGCAGGTAATTGGCTACAGGTTCCCATAAAGACACTTTAGCTAAGGGCTTCTCTGGATATATAGGATCTTGCTATGTTTTTTTTTTTTTTTTTTTTGTGTGTGTGTGTGTTGTGTCTAACGTTTACATTATTTATGCTCTTATTCTCATATTTCTTTTGTTTGTTTATTTATTTCCTTGTGTTTTATTTTCTTGACTCATTAAACAAAGGGCTTGTTAGTTGGTAGTCATTTACACTTTTAAAATGGCGAGTATACTTTCAATTACATTCTTGATTATTGTTGTAAGTATAAAGACACGGGGCAGATTAGCAATACGTTTCCCGATTTTTTAAATATAAGAAATGTGACGTGGATCCAACTGAATAAAGTGTATGAGATGAACAATCTAGATTAGGATTGGAAAGAGGAAGAGAGACAGAGACGGAAGGAGATATTGAGAGAGAGAGACTAAGATATAGGTAGATTGATATATATATATATATATATATATATATATATATATATATATATATATACACACAAAAACAGAGATATACATATTGAAGCAGATTGATATATATATAGAGAGAGGCTTATTAGCAGGACCCCAAGATCCAATCAATATTTTCATGTCATGCACCATCACCCTCCCTGATCTCCCAAGGGCATCTTCGCTAGCTACGTGAGGAATCGACATCTCATTATTGCTCCAGAAGACAAGTAAAAAAAAAAAGGGGGGAGGGGAATTAGATAAATTTTAATATCCGGCACTTCAGCTCTTAGGACAATCGGGTGTAATTTTCTTTTCTTTCGTGAGCTCTCACATTTATGACGACAAAAAAGAACATCTAATCGGGTTTTGACGTTGGTTGCAATTGACTGTGTTGATTGCCACATCAATTGGCATTTCACAGATCTGGACCAGGACAAAGGACGTTCCCGTAAGTCCTTGGACATCACAACCTGGAGCTCCGTATCTTCCCACAATCCACATTGTTGACAGCCTTCAGAATAAATTATATGAATAAAAAAATATATTATATAGTATTGATGTAAATTATATAATGATATGAAAAGTAAAAAATATATATGGAATCCTATCCTACGTCTAAGAATTGAATGCGATTGAATTCGGATAAGAACATAAGAATGCCGATTCAAATGAGGTTCGGCGTGCCCCCGCCTTCACGCCCGCCTCTCCCATCTAAGGGCGGCCTCGGGGTCCTTCCCTCTCGTCGACGCCCTCCGACATCTTCCTGGTCGTCCTACGCTAATTGATTTTCGTAAGCTCGTTTGTCTGAATGAGAGGGTTGATTGGGTCTCAGTAAGAGTTCGAATATAATATCTCCCTATTTTCGTTATAATTAGCTCCCATCAGAACCATTGAACAACCCTAGTGACAATAGCGAATTCCCATTAGAACCATTGAACAACCCTAGTGACAATAGCGAATTCCCATTAGAACCAATGAACAACCTTAGTGACAATAGCGCATACGGTTTTCTATTCATGTGTCTTTCTTTCCTATGCCGACGCGGTCAAAACAGACGCGGTGGAATAGCCTCATAAAGCAACAGCCTGACGTGCAATAACCTCGACATTTTTCACCCTCCTGATCCCCCGGGCTGAATGACCAGGCAAAATGCTCTCAA